AAGTGATGCAGCTTATCAGATGTGCACAGGGTCATCGTGAAGGGTTTTGTTTAAATGGCAAGCCCCAGCACAACCAGCTGCCCAGTGCTGGTCATTAGGTGAGGCATGCTTCTTGCATGCCGGACCACGAAGCTAATGACACATTCTGGGACTCTCCAGGACTTTGGGAGGTACAGGGGTTAGATTTACTTCATTTTCTTGGAAGAGACACATTAACCTTGTCAGCTGGCCAACAGGAGAGAAAATTTGGCAGTGCTCTTGCTGAGCTGGCCAGGTTACTACTGCATTAAACGGTTGTACTTCAGTGAGCAACCAGAAATGGCAACACACAGGCACAGCACGTGCATGGCAATACTAGAGAGAACATTTAGAGGCCGCCTCAGTTACAGAATTATTTTCTTTAGCAAGTGAGAAGAAAAGATAAAAAATTTCAAGAGCTTTTTAGTGTTGTCAGAGGTGTGGAGGATTAAACTTCACTTCAAAATGCCTGCACCAAGCCTGCTCAGTATTTCTGATGGTGGGAAATTAATGCTCTGCCGTGGTAAATACCTGCTGTTTGTTACATTTTTAATGCAACCTTTCAAAATTTCATCGAGCCTTTTAACAAACGGTGAGTAATTTTAGATAACGAGCAAGTGATGCAACATTTTTGTCATCCTTGTTATTGCTTTGATAAGAACAAGGCTGCTTTTGCGCTGGAGCTGTTGAATTTTGATGGCAAGTTCTCAGGCTCTCCATCTGCATGCTGTTGCCTGCACAATCAATTCTGAGTCGCGATCTGAACACGGCTTTTATTTCCGCCCTGCACATCCTTTTCATGTTTGCCTTTCATGCCTCTCTACCAAGTATATGTGAGGCACAAATGAAGTTGAAGGCAGAGGTGAACGGGACCAAGGAGGAGTAGGATGGAAGGTTGATACCAGCAGTATGATGCTCCTGCTTGGATGTGTCAGGTGTAAAACCACACACGTTTAACTGAGGTGGGAGAGCCACATGATGTACTCTACGGGGCTGAGCTGTGTAGGATGTGGGCTCCTAAATGAGCGTCTCTGGTGCAAACCCACAAGTGGAGAATGCAGTGTAGCTCCTGGAACAAAGCTGTGCTCTAAGCAAATCTGCTTTTTATATTCTCTCATGCTTCCTAGTTAGCCCTCCCCCCTTACAGTGCCCAGTATTTATGTTTCCAGATAATAATGATGTGATGTGGCTGGCAGAGTAATTTAAATAATTGGACATTATCTTGAGAAGCAAGCACCTAATTAGATCAAAATAAACTGAGAACTGAAATTTTCATCTGTTTCTAATAACCCTTTACCTATGTACAGTATCACTGCCGTGGCAGAGATTTCATTATTCACACCACTGTGTGTGCTTAGAGTTTACTAGTGATGGAGACTGCTGCAAGAGCAAAGAGCTTGGTGGTATTTTTTGGCCAAGGCTTAGTGGCCTTACCTCTCCTGGTACCGCAGAGTATTTTGCAGTCTTACTGTGCTGTATTTGGCCCTGGTATAACCAGTGAGGTTTGAAGTTTGTATCAGCAGTCTGGGTTTGAATGTGGAGCTACAGAGATAAAAGGCTCAAAGAAAGTCTGGTCTTAGAACTATATTTTTTCTTTCTCTAAGTTTATCTAGGAGTTTATAATCTATTAATTCCTTTGTGCATATGCATTGAAAAAATAGCAGCTAGCATGATCAAGAAAAGAGAAGTCATTTTACTACATATGAGGAAGAGGCAGCTCACACATTCTCCAGCATTAGGCATCATTGGGACCATCTGAGCGCATGATGATATTGCCTCTCCAGCACACACACAGCCTCTCCAGGCTTTAATCTGGTCCTGAGAAAAGGACTCCACTGGATTTTAAAAGTTCAGTAAAAGAATCTTGTTTTGGCTTTGACAGCTACAACTGAAAGTCTCTGATGTTGAGGGTGTCGTTTAGAGTGAAAGTTAGCAGGATTACAGATAAGGGAAGAAAATGAGGGAAGTATTTACTAGCCAATGTACATTTCCTTTATTTTTAGGGATTGGTTCGGTGTCTTTCTCCTGATTAGTTGCTCTTCCTCACATTTCCTCATACTCTTATTCAGCTGATTTATTTAAAGGTATGTCAGCGCTGGCTGAAATGAAACACTGTGCCTCCTCTTCCTGCTTATTGCTGACCGCTCCAATAATTCATTTTTTAGCTCATTAGCTAACAGGGGATGTGAACAGTGGTCCTCCAGGGGACTGCAATGAGGTTAAGTGATCTACTGCTGACAACTCTGCTCTTGGACTGGCCTTCCTTGGGGGAAATGAAACCTTGACCAAGACAAGCTGTGGATCCCAGAAGTGAAACTGGGGCATCAGAGAAACAATTACAGTATTTATGTCTTGTTGTCGGGATTTCTAAGATGAATGCGAGCGGCAGAGCTGAAGCTGTCTTCCAGGAAAGTTCCCAGGATTTCCCATTCAAAATGAAATAGTTTGTGCCAGAGATGTAGGGAGGATGTCCATGGATGTTGGCTTTCTAGATACTCATTCAGAAACAGTCCCTCCACATTTTGGCCGTCCATGTGGCATAGGCCAGCATGCTTTTCCTCCTACCTCTATGATAAAGTTTCGTTTTCTGCCAGAAAATCCAAACAACATATCTTTTTTGTGCCCGATTTGTACAGTTGAATAAGATCATTCGATAGCTGATGTCAGTGACATGCTGCCCCCAAATGTCTGAGGCTTTTAAAACACCTTTATTTTTGTTTGTAATGTTTGCTGTTTTCCCACCACAATCCTTAATGTCACTCCAAATGTAGAATTCGGCCATAATGAATTGAGTCTTTTGGTGGCCTACGTGGTCAAGAAAAATTAGGCATGTTTTCTGAAGAGGGAAACTGAAGTGAAGTAAAATAACCACGTGCGAAGGTTGAATTTTTAGGTGAGCGTAGCCCAGTGGCACAGCCTGCTGCTGGCTGCAGGGTCCTGCCCTGCCCAGGCATGACAGTGAGCATCTCCTGAGGGACCCGATGTCTCCTTAGTTGCTGCTGCAACAGATTTCCTCCAGTGAAGGGATGGATCCTGTCCAGAGCATACAGTGAGTGTTAATGCAGAGCATTTGCGGGTTACTTGATCATGCTGCAGGAGAGTGCTTTAAGGAAGGACCATTTGCATCCTCTCCATCACTAATACAGGTGACAGCATGTTCCCCTTCCTCAGAGTTAGATTTATTTTAAATGTGTTTTTCTGTTCTTTTCACAGCCTTTTGAGACAGTAGGATAAACCTGAGCAGAATCAGGTTGTTGGTGTCTCTCCTGCTCTCTTGCAGCCTTCCAAGAGCAGCGGGATTGCCTTTGTCTGCTCCCATGCGATGCACGGCAAATTGTGAAATTCATGCTGATGAATTTGTAAACTAGCAGCCTAAAGCTCTGAAAGCCTCCACCTGAACTTGGCACTTACTGCCTCTGTTTCGGTACATACCATAGCTCCCTATTACAGTTTAAGGTGAATTGTGATTAGAAGTGGGAGACTTCTGTAAAACAGTTTGCTTTCTAAACAGAAAGGGACTTCTCTTCAAGCCATGGTGATTGCAGCGACCGATTCTCTGACAGGAGCCAAAATTTACTATCACTCAAAAGATGGTCTGGGGGAGAAGGGGAATTCATTTGCAGACTGTATTTAAAAAATGTATTTAAAAAATTTAAAAAACATGTATTTAAAAAAACATAAAGGGCTTTACTAAACATTCTTGAAGGTACACTAGATGCTTACTGGACCTAGAAGTCTTGCAGTGTTGCTAGAATGCCCATTTCACTGTAAATAATTGCATGTATGTTACTTTATCCTCCTCATTGCACTGGTTTTGGTTTGGGATTTTTTACCTTAAAAAAATACAAACACAAAACCCATGAGTTAAGGATGCAGTAGTAACAGAAGTCCTTTTCTTCCTCCTCGCCATCTGGAATACCTGAAATGATACTCTGTTTATCAGATCCTGCCATCAAAGGTTAATTTGCAGCTCCCCAAATGTTTTGTGTGTGTGTGTGTCTTTTAGCTTGCAGGAGTCATTCAAAGGTTTGATTTAAATGAAGCACTCTGTGTTAATTTTCTGTTTGCACTTTTGCTCTGAAAAAAGCCCTGGACCTGTTTGTAAGGTAAATTATGGTGGGGTAGAGAAGCGCATGCTTTGGGAAGCTGTGCCTGAAAGCATCCAGGGAGGTCAAAGCAAGGTCACTCCGCGTGTACCAGGAAATGATGCAAAACTAATCCAGATTTGCTGTTGGAAGGATCTGTTTACATAAGTATTTAAAAACAGATTAGGGCTAACCTGACACTAGATTACTTAGAGTAGTGTAAATACGGCTGAAAGGCGTAAACAGAGCTTTGCCTTTTGTACTCCAGAGGAGAAAATCTGTCACCTGTAACAAGTTGCCTGGCTTAGGTGATGTATATGGTTTTCGCAGGCTGGACAGATTACCTGAGGTACCTCTAAATGGGACTTTGTCTAAGGCTAGATCTCTTAGATCATATAATTGTATGGTAATTTTTTTAATGGAGAGTTGAGGGACTTGTTTGTAGTCCTTGTTATCCTGTAACCTAATAGCATCCAGAAGGCTTTTGATAGTTCTTTGATTTATCAGGAGGAAATGGTACTTCAAAGTATTGTTTTGGTGGTTTGCATTTTGGAAAAACAAACAGAGGAACCATCCATATGCCTTTTGCATTGGAAACATTACTCGACTTGTAGAAGGAAAAGGCACCCCTGCAAGCAAGGCTGTGTCTTTCAGGGCTTGCTCTTCTGACTGAAATGCAAGCCCACGTGCTTGGTTACTTCTGGTTTTAGATACAGAAATTTGGTGCATTTTCTGTAATGTATTTTGCAGCACAACCTTAACGTGGAACCAGGCTGCCTGTTTTGTCTTTGGTCTTCATGATAGTGAGAGCTCTTGCACTGACTCCTTGGCAGTCCTCAGGGCAGCCCAGGGTTTTTTAAAACCTCCTGGCTGTTGTGATCTTATGACCCTGCAGGCATGGCATCCACCAAGGGGGATCTCAGGCATGATGAGATGGGTGACACAAATATCACTGCAAAGATAAGGTTTGGATGAGCTGTTTCTGTGAGGGCTTTCTTGACACAAAGTTGAAGAGGGAATAATTTTCATGTTGGTTAACTGCTGTTTGCTAGCGTAACAGTAGCTGAAGTTGAACTTGCATCATTTTACAGAGTCAGCGAAGTTGGGTTAGAGTGACCTGTCTCCTTTGGCTTCTCTAGGGAAGAAAAAGAGCGCTGGATACGTGCGAAATATGAGCAGAAGCTCTTCCTTGCCCCACTGCAGTGCCTGGAGCTTTCTCTGGGCCAGCATCTCCTGAGGGCCACAGCCGAGGAGGACTTGCGGACGGTCATCCTGCTCCTTGCCCACGGTACTCGGGAAGAGGTGAACGAGACCTGCGGAGACGGTGATGGGCGCACTGCCCTCCACTTGGCGTGCCGGAAAGGAAACGTGGTGTTAGTGCAGCTCTTGATTTGGGTAAGTACTTGGTGTCCGGGGAGGGGACTGGCTGGGTTGGCTTTCGCTTGACCATGTCCCTCGGCAGGACCGCCCAAACCTCCTTCCTGCAGGTTCCACAAAGCCTTTGCTGGTGTGCCAAGTCTAGGTGTTCCTCATTGCATACTCTCAAAAGACAGCAATGTGATAAAAAAAGTGTATTTCTGCCTGTCTGCTGCTACTTGATGGAAAGTAAAGGAGAGCATAGGAAATGAGGAAGGAGAGATTTCCCTAACACTTGTTTGAAACACGACCGTGGCAAATTTTGTTCCACACATGAGCCTCTCCCCATAGAAACCTTTATGTATGTGACTCAGTGCTGCTCACGTTGTCAGGCTGGTATCCTGCATGGTCTCTGCTCCTTCTCCCCATCCTCAGTTACGTTCAAACCATTCTGTCCCGAGTCCGATCCCTCCATTTTAACGCTCTGTTGGCACCACAGCTTCCAACAACACATCTCTTCTTTCTGTAGTATGGTGTCGATGTGATGGCTCGCGATGCCCATGGAAACACAGCATTGGCCTACGCCCGGCAGGCCTCCAGCCAGGAGTGCATTGACGTTCTCCTGCAGTACGGCTGCCCCGACGAGCGCTTCGTCCTCATGGCCACTCCAAACTTGTCCAGGAAGAACAATAACCGGAACAACAGCAGCGGAAGGATGCCCACCATCATCTGAGGAGCTCACTCATGCATTCACTGACCTGAATTACATCCGCAGCCTCATATTCCTCCATCCCCATCACAGCTCTGCTCTGTGAGTTTGGTAAACTCTCCTTTTCCCTTTTCCCTTTGGTACATCCCTGTCCCATCCAGAAACAGCACATCTGGAGAGTGCGAGGGGATGGGAAGGAGCAAAAGGGGCTGCAGAGAAAGCAGTTGTTTCAGTGACAGCTCTCAAACGATGGAAACAAGCAGGCGAGGGCACGTGGGTTGAGCAGGACATGCCGCGAGTGGCACCAGGACCATGGGAGAGCAGTCGCCCCGGGGAGCACGCAGGCTCCCTGAGCGTGGAGGGAAGGGGCGGAGGGAGAGGCGAGTGAGAGGAGAAGGAAGGAGAAATGGTGACTTTCCGTAACTGACAGTTAAGCACATCAGTACATTTCACCTCTACCAAACGCGACGCCTGGATTTCATTCTCTTCTCTGAAGAGCTTGACGGCATAAATCAGAAGCAAGCACAGAGTTTGTCAGGTTTGAAGCTCCTATGATGGTATGTGTCAAATCAGTTGTAGCTAATCTGTCCGGGGAGAATACTGGCTTCATTACACTTGTATAGTTGAGTTCTTCCAGCATTACCGCTGTTTAATAGAACATGATTAGTCATCACGGAGAAAAAAGCATATTAGCTGAGGAGGTAGTTACATGGCACGCTTCGGTGATTGCTTGGATGTGATTGCAATATTCTTAGAAGCATCATATTATCTCAGACATGTTCTTTCAAGCCCTTGGAGCCCTCCTTTCTAAATTCACTGTCATAATTTAGTATCTGTTTAATTTTTCAGTCCAAAGAGAGGAAATGAGTTGCTGAGTGTTATTTGACTGCAGTCTCCTTGGTGTAAAAACAAAATGGAAAAAATAAATAAGAGTAACTATGAAACACAAAAAGGAATAATGAATACCGCTAAGGAAAATCATTTCAAGTACGTTTAGTGAAATTAATAAACGCATTAAAGGCTAATATTTTTTCAGCCAGCAGAAATAGGTTCTGTCATTTTGCCAAGGTAAATGTGTTGAGTTTTTGGTCACCCCTGTGATGCATTGCCTAACTTATACAGATTTTTGTATTGTGTCTCTAGATTATATGTATGTAAAATCTATTTGAATAAAAAAAACATAAATATGCATTGATTTTTTTTTTTGTACAGAAAATGACATCTCTGTTAATTTATAAACTGTAATGGATGTGAACTAAATAATGTGCAACTAGTTAGGATCTGTGGGTTACAGATCATTGTACATTGAAAATATTCCCAGCAGTGAACTCTTGTTTCCATCACAAGCCTTTGAGGAACATATCAGAAAGAGATTATGGCACGTTTGGCATGGAAAAAAAAAGCATACAAGACCTCTTAGAAAGGAAAAAGAGGCTGTTTCTCAGCGCTGTAAATATATTTTACTCCAGAAGTCATGAAGCTTTCACAAGCCAAGACAAAAAGCCCTGGTCTGGCTGTGGGAAGATCAGATTTGATTAAGTTCAGAATTGATAGCCTTCACCGCAGCGGGCAGGGCATGGCTGCGCTTGACTCCCAACTTGGCTGCTTTCTGGAAGAAAAATGGCTTGTGAAAGTAGCCTGGACAGTTCATTTGAATTCCAAGTTTTAATACTTGATTTGATTATTTTGGTATTACCGGGCAGATCCCAGCTTCTCCTATTTTCAACGAACTAGGATTCTGGCACAGAGAAGCAGGCTGTACAGTTTTTGGCAGGCAGAAAAGTGATTTTTTTTAAGTGGCATATGGCAATGTGAAGATGGGGGAAGGGTATATCACAGAGAAAGTTGAAAACTCAACTCAATTTGATGGCAAAGGAGCAATTATGTGAAGGCAGTGAGGTGCACACAGCATAGTAATTTGCAAATCTACCTGCTCATATGTATTTCCCAAGCCTTCAGTGGTGCTCTTCCTTGGGGCTCTGGATTTCATTTGGCATACAAATGGGAGGAGCATAGCAATTGCTAAATAAACTATCTGTGGACAAAATGTGAAGGAAAAAAATGTAATCTGGTTATCTTAAGGAAAAAAGAAAAACAGAAAATTACAGACTTGATGTAAAATCAAATTGCGGAAGAAAAGCAAGCCTCAAGGTGGAAGCACAAGAATATTGACCAGCTTTTCCTATTCGGTGGTGTTCTCATTTTGTACTTTGTTACTGTATAGACCTTTGACTATTTGTGTGGGGAAATCTTTTCTTCCACCAGCCTAGGCTGGCCACATCAGAGTGAGGCTACAGCTGATTGTCTTCATACTGGGATTTTTTTTTTTTTTTTAAATTGAGGAAGGGTGTCTGATTTAATTGCTATTACTCCATCATTCCCATGCAGCTCCTTGATCTTTGGTACTGACTGTCCTTCAGCGACAGGACAACCCATCTAATGTGCAGCTGAAGGGGGTGCTGTGAAGCCCACTGTGTCTTGGTGCTCACAAACTTTACACCCCTACCGGGGGGCACAGCAGGGATTCAGGAATTGTGGATCTGGTCCCAGAGGTGCTATAGCTGCCTGCTGTTCCCCTGGGAGCATCAAGGGCATTTTTATCCAAAAACCAAGTCCAATGTTTCAAATAATGGTAGGCAGATTTGCCACCGTTAAGTTCTCAAGGCATGTTCCATTTCTGGGCTGTTTTTTTCCTAATTGAAAATATTTTCTGTACATAATTTAATGCTCTCTTTGGGCCACCTTCCTCTTACAAAGCTGAGAGTGATGTTTGAGAAACAAGGGCAACGAGGCTGTCATGCAGATTTCGGGTGGAAGAATTAGACACTCATAAAAATTCTCTGAAGGCAAACGTTGAAAAAACACAGAATATTTTTAGGAGAGGAAATTCCACTGTATTATAGGAAAAATGATATATCCAGGCTAGCCAACTAATAACCTCATACTTTAATTAAGCAGTAGCACAGCTGCTTTTAACCTAAACATAGTTTTCCCTTGGAGGTGTAAGCGTTGGCAGTAACTACACTGAAGTGGCGTAGACTATGTGATGGCTTCCCCAAACGTGTGGGGGTCTGTGGGGAGGATGCCCGGTCATGCATGCAGCGGTGATCCCTTCAGAAGACAGGACATCACCCAGCACTGTCTCTCCGCGTCGGGAGAGACCTTCCCTGGCACTACAGCTGGTGATGCTCCAGCCACAGGAGAACAGACGGAGGGTCTGTGCCTCGTGGGGTGTTGGCTACAGCATCCCCTCTTCAAATGGGTTTGGTTGGATGTCTGTGAGAAGTTGTGTGGCACCGCCTGAGCTTGTGGGACAGGCCACCTGGCAAGGAAGTCGGGCCAGCGTAGACTCCATCCCCTTCTTGCATGGTGAAGGAGAGGAGGGAAAACCCCTTTCCACCACAGCTGAGAGCGAGGATGGAGGAAGCTCTCCGTGGCTGGAGCCTGGCAGGACTTGGCTTTGTGAGCCAAGGTCTCTGGGCTCTGAGTGCTTTTCAGGGGATGTGTTTGCACTTTGCAAAGGATGTTCTTGAAGTCGTCCAGGTGCGGAAACAGGCAATATATACCGACACTTGGACAACCTGCAGGAATCATTCCCCTTGCTTTCACTCTGTTAACCCGTCTGTTTTCTGTTCTTCGTCTCACATTTAGCCCCTCGTTGCTTTTATGGAACCCACCTGCCAGGCTATTTACACCCTTTGAGCATGTTATGAGCAAATTAAAACCAAATTGAGATCCAGTCAATAAGAAATCCCAGCAGAAACATGTTAGCTAAAGCTCTTTTCTCTGAAAATGGAGTCCATGGCTGTGGTTTTCGTTGCATCCTGTTTAACACTTTTCATCATCCCAGGTACCTTTAAATCCCCCTTCCTCTGCACGTTATCCACGACAACTAAAACACTAGAAGTGAGTCAGCCTTTGCTATTAACATCAGCACTTTCCTTCTATTTATTTTAAGCTAATTGCTGTTGAATGGTAGAGATGAGTCGGATGTGTCATACCCGGCATCTGAACCTTGATATTCCCAGAGTTGAGGAGGGTTTACTTCTTGCTATTTATGAAGAAATAAGATCTAACCTTGGGAACATGCAGGGTCCTGCCAGTGCAGAGATTTGGCCAAGGGCTCCCATTTTCAATTTCCAATTTTGTTGCTAAAAGGGGGACAGAAGAAAAGGTATTTTTGGAGAACCTTGGTATATTCTGGGCTAGGTGCTGCTCAGAAAGCCAGGTGAGCTCCAGGAAGGTAGAGAGGATTTTTAAGCATTTGGGCATAGTGTATAATAACTGTATAAACATTAATATTGTTTAATTTGCCATCTTTTCCCCGTTTCCTTAAATTAATGTGTGTTAGTGCAACAAAGCTTTAGCTGCACTTGGAGATTTCCCCTGGCCAGAGGAAGCTGAGTAACGTGGGGAGAGGATTAGACGTAGGAATGCAGGTACAGGCTTAGAAATGATCTCCAGCACTGTAATGTAGTATAATTAGATTATATGGGGTTTGGATAGCTTCATCTTTTATATTTGTATGGAGATCGGGAAAAATGAAGTAATTTGTAGGTTCTACTATAAAGTAGTAATAGTGGAGACAAGCACAGATTTCACAAGGGGGTCCCAAAGGGGCCCTTTCCAATTGTCTCGGGGAGCCGTGTTTGCACCTTAACAGGGAACAAATCGTCATTGTGGCTGGAGGAACTCAAGGTAAAGAAGGACAGCGTTGGGGACCAACCTTGGGGCAGCTTGGCTGGATAGGAGACAACTTGCCCATTCCCATCTCATCATCAAGCATCTTCATTTTCTCTCCGGTGCCCACTACAGCGATGCATACATGGGATCTCCAGCTATTATTCTTGGATCCTCAGTTCATCATCTCCTTCCATTCTTGGTGATTTGTGGGTAAAATTTATTGTGTGCAAAACCGTTTTTGGATGTTGTTGTTTGCTGCGTAGCAGGAAAAAAAAACACTCCAGATTGAAGTTCTTTCCAAGGTAGAAAAACACTAAACTACCCCAAAATAAAAGATTCTGCAATGAGTTTTGACATCTTAAATTTTAAGCTACAAAAAGAAGGTTGGTTTGAATGGTTTTATTAGAGAATAATCTCCTGTTTGAAAAAATATAGAGGTAATAGAGCAAAATATCCAAAGCTGTAGGTAGGTAGATTTGTTGTATTACGATATTCTAGGTTTTGTTTTGTTGTTTAGCGTGGGCCAGTTTTTAAAGTAAATACCGGGTGGTCTCATCTCATGGCAGTTTACCTTGAGTTGACTGAAATCTGTCTCACGTTTTAAAGAGAGGTTCAAAGGGTTTTGGCCAAGGTTTTCAGGAGCTATGAACAGTTCATGTTTTGAGAGGAGGATTGCATAATTTTTGAAAATAAAAGGTTGGTTTGGGTTTTTTTTTAGAGCCATCTTAAGCCCCAAATCACGAGCCATGCTTCTGGTCATCTTGGCCCCTGTGTTTCATTTCAGGTGACAGCAATATGTGGGTGAATTAACTCCCATCGTTTACTATCGTTCCCTGAATGTTTGTGGGGACTTTTCCTTGTGGGCAGTTAAAAGAAAAATGTCTTTGTGCATTTCAGCAGTTTTAGCCTCTTCATCTCTATATGTCCGCCTATCTCCCAAATCTGTGTGGCATATTCAAGTGATAGCAGTCAGTTCTGTTGACAGGCAGAGCTTCAGCTTTCTCTTGGACATGAACTTTCTGGATGTGTGTTTAGCTTCCAGTACTAAGGATTGACTATTTTGCAGTGCTTGAGAGCTAGTAATTTTTACCTGTGTGTTATGTACAAAACGTGAAGGGGGG